AACTATTGGATCAATAAAAGCAAAAGATGATTAACATATGAACATGAGGTACTCGGGTTTGTTTTTGTCCGAATTAACCCGATCGGAAATGTCGGAAGGTGATTTTCAGGGTAAAGACCTCATTTACTAGTGCTAGGTTAATAGTCATTATCAAAACAATGTGATACTAATTGTCACATAATTTGGTCGTCCCAAAAATTTTGGGGCTACTTCCCTAATACTATAGAATCAAAGTTAGATCAATTCGAAATTTAGTATAAAAGACGAACTTCTCGAAATGAAAAAAAAGTCAACCATTCGCAATGGCAAAAATTATTATTATCATGTAAGAAAGCATTTTTTTTTTTATCGACCTATTTGTTAAACCTATTTGTTAAAGTATGATATTGAAAATTTTCTTACATTTCTGTGATCTTTAGTTATGCTACATACACTCATGTGTATCAATTGGCCTTAGAAGTAAAAAAAGGAGTGGAGAGTGCCGGATACGGATCGAAAGTTGAAATTTACCAAGTTCCCGAAACCTTTCAAGAGAAAGACCCCGAACAAATGCCTGAACACCAAAAGCCAAATATTCCATTTATTGTTACAGAAAAATTAGCGGAAGCCGATGGATTTCTTTTTGGAATTCCCGCTAGATTTGGGCAATTCCCAACTCAATTTAAAAAGTTTCTTGATTCATCAAGTCAACTTTTAGGCAAAAAGTCGTTAAACAATAAATTTGGAGGAATTTTTTTCTCAATGGATACTCAACCGAGTGGTCAAGGTATAAAAACATAATAAAGAGTTACTATAATTAAAGTTCAAATTTCTTAATTCACCTAATTAATTAACCTAACAAATTTACAATAAATAATTCGTTGTAGAAATGATAGCTTTCACGGCAATAAACTGGTTGTCGTCTCATGGTATTAACTTTGTTCCACTCGGTAATGGATCACATGAAGGATTGAACGGAGGACCTTGGGGAGCTAGTACAATTACCAACAATGGAGCAATATCCAAGAAGGAGAAAGAAGTAGCACAATTTCAAGGAAAGAAATTTGCAGAACTTGTCACAGCTTATGTTAAAGGAAGGCAAGAATAAGATTTATAAAACTGATGAATTATTTCAGAAGTGATTATTTAAAATGCCGAAACTATATATAATATATATATGTGTATTTTTTTTTTTTTGTTTATACCTATCATGATAATAGAACGACTGCGGCGGCAAAGATTGTCAATGTCACGGTAAATCCAGCTGAAGCCATAAATGAGAAAATAGAAAAACCATATAGAAGGTTCTTGGTTTGTCGTAAAGAAACAGTATAAATAATAAGGTTCTACGTATGAGAAACTTAAATAACGCCAATATATATATATATATATAGATAATATATATATAATGTATATATACATTTTATAATTATACAGTAGTTATTTAGATGTGTAGCATCCAATAACAGTTACAGGTTATTTAGCAGAAGAAATGAGAATACCGTGATACTTCGGATCACGAGATGATCATTTTGGATGGCAAATGAAGTATCTTGCTTTGAATTTAATGTGCTAACTTGGGCTCAGGTTGTCACATTAAATTCAAAGCCAGATACGCTGTTATTGGATGCGAAACATCCAATAACGGATTTATTTTTCTTTTTCTTTTATAACAAATAAATTTCATGGGCTTAATTGGGTCTATTTGGCGTATAACAAGTAATTATACTATTATTAAAAAGAAAAATAATAAAATTTTTCATGCTTGATATAGTTAAACAATCTTGGATACAATTTAAAATTTATTTGTAAAAGTTTTATCGATATATATATGAATGCCGTCAAAAGAAAACCTGTCATCGAGCTTTCAATTATATTTTGTGTTCAGTTTGTCGTCTAAGGTAAAGTCTATCAACTGGCTTTCAATTATATTTTGTGACAAGTCATTACAAATATAATCGAAAGTCCGATTATTGGACGAACAAACTGAACACAAAATATAATTAAAAGTCCGATGACAGGTTGGCACTCATATATCCATCAGTATATACCGATACAATAGATACATACAGTATATTTGTCTATAACTGATAAGTACTAGTTATCTGTCGTGTTGTGGATGATAACTGATTATTCACTAGGATATTTACTATGAAAAATCAGTGATCAATACTAAGACTAGACTCGACTGATAACTAAGTTATCCAACATGTCTGACGTAAACACCGAACGATTTTGTGTAAGTTATTCGGCTTCCTTCTAGTACAAATACACAAATTTTCATTCACCTCTTAAGAGATGATGAAAATTTGAGTATTTGTATTAGGAGATGGCCGAATAACTATGCAAAAATCGATCGGTGTTCACATAGGATATGTCGGATAATCTTCTATAATCTTCTATATCGATGTACAGAACCTTAACGAATAAAAAGATTTAGATAAAATAAAATGATTTATTTGACCCGGATATAATGAAATTGTATACGTGATATATTTGCTGTATCACATCAGAATCAGAACCTAGAGCTAGTTAGATTGGTATACATAATCAATCAATACATATAAACGATTATATATACTTGGATAATAAAATCACACAGGCTACTGCTAGGAATCATGACGGGGAATCTCGAGTTCATTAGCTATCACACTGGGTTTTTACAGTATTCGATCTTAAGAATATTAAGAATATAAAAAAATATGATTGATCAGTAACACGAGTTCCTTATCATGTTATATGGAACGATAAATAACAAAGCGCCTACATATGCACCCGGGATGCCACTGGGATGCCACCAGGATGCGGAGATGTTTCATTATTTCCGCCGCCTATGTAGGACTTAATGGCAAGAGAAAATATTTTTTATTTACTATTAGGATTAAGTCCACTGATAAAGAATAACGTTATTTCAGATTCATAGATTTATTTAAGTAAATTATTTTATGATGCATTATTATTTCTTATAGTGAGGGTAAGTTTAACAGTTGAATTTAACAGCCACAGATATTTTTAATACGTATAACGGTAATGACCTTGATTAACATGCGCAAGAGTTTTACTCTATGTATACCGAATATATATATATAATGTTGAAAATGACGCACAATCAACCTCTATAAGTGCATTTCACATGTACTCTATATACGGAGAGTTTGCTACACGTACGTTTTATAATTTTGGTTAATTACAATACTGTATTTAGTACGTACGTACGTACGTATAAATTATACCAACAATGATTCTTAATTACAATTGTATAATTAATTTAGATTATTATTTATTAGTACATCATAAAAATAAACTTTTTGTAGTATTATGGACGAATGACACGATATGTATCAGATATAATCCGTATGGCGATTTATATGTACGATAGCCGTTATTATTATGAAACAAAATGCGTGCAAATAGACATGTGCGTGAATGTGTACGTACTTTCGTACATATGTTGAAAGTCATTCCGACAGGAAATTATTGTTAAAACGCATATCGATATATAGAGTTGTATAAGTTGTATAAGTTGTATAAGTTGTATAAAGATGTTGAACACCACATAATGAGATAAATTCATACACACATACCTGATACGTACGTACGTACGTACGTATTATATATATATATATATATATATATATATATATCTTTATTAGGGACGATATTGCAGATTTATAGACGTAAAATATCAAAAGTACGATCGTAATAAATTAAATCAACACAAATTGGTCTCCATTCGATATATTATCCGACTACGAATCATGCAAATCAGCGCCTTGTCGATTTATAAATAATTGGATGCATATCAATTTGTAACTGAATTTTTCAAATTTATAATCAAACCTTCTCATATATAGTAACGTGATAAATTTGTATTACATATCGATATGCAACTTGCAACAGTAAAACGAACCATTAAATAAAAAAATTCTATACGTATAGATCATGCCAATCATAAACACTATAACTGTTCATAGCAAACAGGATAATATAAAATTTGGCATTTCATTAAATAGATCATTTAATATTTAATAATTTATTAAAATAATTTTAATGAATTATTTTAGTGGATTATTTTAGTGGATTATTTTAGTGAATTTTTTTAATAATAAATTATTTTTAATGATCAATCAATTGTCATGTACACGTGATCGATATCAGCAGTTCAATATTCCTTCGGAATGATCTAGTTATAGCTCAGTTGTAAGTGTTAGGTTCCTTCATCTCTGCATGCTTGCATGCCGAATGCCGGAGCCACTGTCGTATATGGAACGGTTTGGACAATCTAATTATTCAACAAATTAAAGAATAACTAATTAAAGAATATTGAAAGAAATTGAATCCGATTACTGAACCACATCTCAAATTGTATCTAATTCTTCGCTTACTATATTACTACATTACTATATTACTATATTACTATATTACTATATTATATACTATATTACTATATTACTATATTACTATATTACTATATTATATACTATATTACAGTATTAATATTATATACTATATTACAGTATTACTACACCAGATACTACAGTATTCAGACATGATAAATTAGAGATTCTTTCAGAAATTTCCATATACAGTATAAGAACTTATATTGACTACGTATCTATATACTTACCTTGTCTACCTATCTATATACTACCTATCTATCTATATACTACCTATCTATAAACTTACCTTGTCTACCTTGTTTTCTTTGCATAAAGGTCGGACCATTGCTGTCACATCCTCATTGGTTCGTATTACTATACAATGCGTGCATGCTGAATTTTTGTTTGTTACCCAAGAAATGTTTGATTTTGCGTTATCGTTATGCTTTAAATGTAAAGAAAAACCGGATTGATCTGATTAGATTTTAAGGAGGGTAATAAGATAAGAAGAAATAGTAAATAATGTTACGTAATACGTATCTTTTTTTATATGGTGTTTATTGTGTAGAATAAAAATTGACATTTTTTTTTATATTACTAATTATATATTGACTAAACCAAATTCGTATGTAAATGTATATGTACATTTCGTTTTCTATCTACCTGTGAATTACTATTTGATCGGGTTTTGTTTATCAGCATTAGCACTTATCAGTATTAGCACTTGATAAGATAATTTTTTGAATTATCAGTTATGCATTTTTTTGGCTTTTTTTTTTTGTGATTCACATCATCGATCTTTAGGACTGGTTCAAATATAAATCTGATCATTGTTGAAAAAGTAAGGAGTCGAAAGTTAATATGTCATATATATGTCATATGACGTTTAACATATGAAATGCTTAGTAACATGTGAAAATCTACAGACAAAAGAAATAAAATTTCCGTTAAAATTAAAAATCAATGATTTTATTGATTTTATTTATTTTATTTATTTTTTATTGATTTGTACTGTACTGTATTACGATTACGGAAAATTTAAAGGCACTTGAATAATTTATTAGCCGTATTGATATATCATAGGTGTATCATAGGTATATCTTAGGGTATATTGTAGGTGGTGTATATCTTGTACCGGTAGGTATATCGTAGATTACACCACATCACACGTTACTCTATAAGAAATTAACTGTAACAATATATAGTGTAATTATTTCGATTTATTAAAGTTTGGGTCACAGTTAAATAACTGATTATATAATTTAATAACAAATTTTAATCCTAAAATTTGGTAATCCTAAAATTTTATGAATAATATCTTTTAGATTTAATACGTGCGTACGTACGTAGATTTAATGGACTTAATAGTTTCAAGCCAAGATTTCACAAAAGGTTTCTTAAGGTTCCGTATCTTTTTGTTTCTTGTAAAATTCTTTAAAAACATTTATTATCTTCGTAATAACATTCGTAGTAAATTAATAACATTCGTAATAACGATAAATGCAAATCATTTGATTTATGGTCAATCTTTAAATGCATTCATACCCCGGCGCTTTCCCTCCTTGGAAAATTGGAAAACAGAAAATGGAAAATGATTATCATTAACCTTATAAGGTTTCTTTTTTGGTTAAGTATCGTTAAATAAATTTTTACGTATATTTAATTAATTAATTTATTAATTAATTTTAGTAATAAATTAATACGTTTTAATAAACTTAATTACCTTAATTACGCATGTAAACATGCATTTCACAAAGGCCTTACACTTTGCCCATCCAAATATGCAATCTCATTCTAAACTTTCCACTGAAAATAGATTTTTGTTTTGATCATTTCCATGTCATCTATAAAGATTATCCCAAACAATCATCTGATCTCCACGTTTCTACCATCAGCATACGTATTAGGTAACTGGCCTATAATCTAAAAAAGATTATGTATATTTGTAATTTGATTTGATCCTTTAGTAATAAAAATTAATTAATTTTTATTGATCTAAAATATGTGTAATAGTCATGTGAACTACAGTGTGCGTCTGACTGTTCCCGGCATTTCCTTATTTTTTTTAATTTTTCGGTTTTTTTCGTGAAACCCCGACATAATTGGTTACAAAAAAAAAAAATTTAAATTAACCAACTACTGACGAATTACTCATGAATACATAATTTTAGCATGAAGCTTACTAAAATAAAAAATAAAATTTTGGTTCGAGCATAAAAAAAAATTCTTTTTGTTAATTTTATGTTACTCTTTCGGTTTAGTCGGATCAAAATCTTCTAGATTAATCATCTGAATTTTTTTTTCTATTTATATAGGAGAATCAAGCGTTTACTCCTTCGTTTCTTTGGCGTTGTTGGTGGTTGTTTTTTTTTTTAAAACCCATACAGTATCATTTAGTATTATTTTTTAAATACTGTTTGTTACGTTTTTTTTTTTGCTCCGTTCATCCGTTCGTCTGTTCGTCCGTTTTGAATAATGATATGATAAAAAATTATTATTAAACAAAAAAAAAAAACCTTTTCTTCACCAAAAACAACTACCTTTTTTTCTTACATTCTTTACCTTGTGACCATCCGATCGAAAGAACTTTGATTCTTCAAATTCTAAAATTTTTTTTTAAAAAAAAACTCCTAATTCTGGAAAAGATCAAAGCTTACTCCTATTCATTACTGTATAAGAGTCGATTTAATGTGTTTAAAAATATCTGAGGATTGCCGGCCATTCCAACTATAACTTCTTTTATAAAGACACCTAAAATACAATAGAAATTTCTGAATGTAAGATGTCAAATAATCAAAAAACTTATTGTAGAAAAGAAACTTTGTCGACTTCTCTCATGTATAATAAAAAAAATATCAATAATATTGACTTACAATGTACTGGACTAAATAAAGTAGTTAATGAAAACATTGTAGAAAATATTATTGAAAATGATAATTTATTAACTGATCGTGGAAATAATTGTGTAAGCATAACTACCTTCGATTTGCTATCTATCAAATCTTGAATCTCTTATATTTAAAAATATATGCTGATGTACATAATATTTTTAATATAGTTACCTGTAGATGAATTAATACAGCAGTTGCGGTCCGAACTAAAACAAACAAGAGAATTAATTTCTGAACTTGAATCACGTTTAAGATTGTAATTATATTTATATTCTTCCTGTCCATGTTCATGTCTATTTCTGATTATCATATTTATAGTTTTTAATTTTCTACACTTTTTATACACTTTTTGTACACTTTTTATACAAATTTTATACAAATTTTATACAAATTTTATACAAATTTTATACAAATACAAATAGAACTGAACAAACAAGTCAGTTGGTTCTTAGTGAATTAAAATATTTAACAGAACATGAGTATGCCATTTTTTCTTTTCTTTTTTTTTACATTACATACTACGAATTTATTTTAACAAATTTCATTTATTTCATTTTTTAAAAGATCAGAGAGTTGTACTACTGCTGTTGAGGAAATAAATCAGGATTATAGTGATTCCGATATATTTAAACCAATACCTGATGTGAGAATATTTTCTTCAGATGAAATGATGATTGAAAATTATGATTATGAAACTTATGAATCTAGTGACTCTGATGAATTGAAACAAACTGATGATACAAATGATACACATGATACAAATGATACAAATGATACAACTGATACAAATGATTCTTATTATCGAATATGTACTTCTCTACAAAAATTAATTCATGATGCTCAAATAGCTTTACAAAAAAAACCAAATAACGATAATGTTCATCGTTCTCATTCTCAACAATGTTTAGGATTACCTTCAACAAGATCTCGTTCTTCAAGTAGAAGTTCTAATGTTAGTAATTGGTTAATGAATCATTGTTCTTCTGCTACTTCCGCTTGGGAATGTGGTTGTGGATATTGTATACTTTGTTTAGCTCCTGATAATATGTCTATCATAGAAAGTAGACCTGCTTCAACAAGAACTACTCCAAGACCTTCTCGACGTAATTCCGTTTCTTCTCGTCAAAAATGTCAAAAATGTTTAAATTATGCTTTCCCTGATATACCTGAAGAAAATTCTTCCTCTTTCAACAAAAAACATCATCAATTAGCTATTCTTAAACGTCTTTATCGTCATCAACTTGATCATAAATCTGATTATAAAAAAAGTTGTGAAAATTTGGATTTGGAATTCCAAAAATTCGTTTCTACCGCTTTAATGGATTCTTATTCTTGTGATGATTATGATCATTTGGATCCTTTTACCTGTCTCAAATGTAGAAATGATTTACTGCTGGTTGAAGCTCCTAAAAATGACGTTCCCATCTGGAGAAATCGTTTATGGAACTATTTAAAAGAAAAAATCTTACCTTCTTCCCCTTTAATTTCTTCATCTACTACAAGTTATAATAATAACTCTTCTGATGAATTACATGGTGATGATTTTGTTGATAATAATTGGTCAAATTATTATAAATACGATGACTACTCAAATTCTTCTTCTAATTCGTCCTATTCTCATGATACTAGAAATGATGATGATTCTACTCCATTTCCTTCTTCTTTTGGCCAAAATATTTTTTGTAACGTTAACATTGTGAATCATGTGAATCATGTTAATAATAACAATATAAAAACGAACAATAATAGAACTTTTTATTACAATAATGATAATAGTAATAATAGTAATATTAATACGACGAACAATTATTCTAATACCACCACAAATAATTATTATACTGATAAGGATGATAAGGATAGTAAGGATGTGACAAGGGATGCGGTAAGGGATGTGTCAAAAAATGTGAAATCAAATTCAAACCAAAATATCACAAAACGGTGCATGAATTTATTAGCTATAATTGGCGTTTTGGTCGGAGTTTTACAAAATGGTTTCATCCCTTCTAAAAGAAACGGTAATCTCAATTTTAATTCTAAAAGAACTTTAATTAGAGGGCCGATATTATTAGACATTATTTCTCGTGCTTTATACACAAAAAAAAATCGTAGTGTGAAGAGTAAAAGAGATATTTTAGTTATGATGAGGGTTATAAAGTTTGTTACGGGGTTGTTTGTTGGTTGGTCTGTTGGACGAATGGGGGTGTGAATTTATTTAAAAATTTAAATGAACATTTTTTTATGAACATTTTCACAAAACTTTCATAAACATTTTCGAAAAAGAGTATTAGTATTAGCAAACAATCGAACAATCGAACAATCGTGTTTAGATCTAGGATTACCGGTAATCTTTAGATCTT